TTTTATTGGATGGTCACATTTATTGATGATTGTACCCGACTCACTTAGATTTTCTTGCTGAAAAATAAACATGATGTTGTTTCCATCCTTCCAGAGTTCTGTACTATGGTGTTTACTCAGTTTCATGCTCGGGTCAAAGTATTCCGGACTGATAACGGAGGCGAATATGTGAATAATACTTTCATATTTTCTTCCGTGCTTAAGGTATTATTCACCAAACGACAACCTCATTTACTCCTCAGCAGAATGGTGTGTCCGAACGCAAGAATCATCAGTTACTTGAAGTTTCCAACTCCCTTATATTGGACATGTCTTTCCCCATCATCTTTGGGGGCATGCTGTTTTATCTGCTGCCTATTTACTTAATCGTACTCCTAGCCGGGTTCTTGATTTCAAGACTCCACATGTTATATTTGGTGACCATGTTTCCCCTGTCTCAGTCTCCAAGTTGCCCTCTAAAGTTTTTTGGTGTGTTGCCTATGTTCATGTCTACTCTCATCAACGGAGTAAACTTGATCCTTGTGCTCTACGATCTGTCTTTATTGGTTACTCTTCTACTCAGAAAGGTTATAAATGCTATCATCCACCTACCTAGAAGGTGCATGTTAATTTGGACATGACTTTCAATGAAGAAGTGTCCTATTATGTCTCTCCCTCCTCGCGATTCAGGGGGAGAGGGGGAATGAATTGGAGAGTCTTGGATTGGAGAATGATGTGTTTGAAGATACTGCTCTCGGGAAGGGAACCACCTGTCGCACTGAAGCAAGTGACCAGTCGCCCATATCTGAAGATGAAACTTGTGGTCTCTGTGAAGAAACGACTAATCGCCCTTTGGAACTCAACCGGTCGCCCATATCTAGAGATGAAGTAGGTGCTCTCAGTGTCGAAACGACTAGTCACACTGAAGCAAGTGACCAGTCGCCTGTATATGAAAATAATGACAGTGATTCTTGTATGGATGGGTTCGATGCAATATCCCCCCTTCCCTGCGAGTGCCCCAATCTACTCATGATAGTGAATCAAGTGAGGTAATTTTTGATGATATATATGTGTCTACTTATCAGTTACACCCACAAACCACTCGTGGGAAACCTAAAGTACAATATTCTCCTGATATACATGCCAAGTCTAAATATCTCATTAGTCATTATGTGTCAACTCATCGTTTGTCTAAGTCATATGCATCATATTTGTGTCAATTATTTAGTGTATGTGTGCCAACTAAGCTGTAAGATGCTTTATATAATCCCAAATGGATAGATGTCATGAATGTTGAAATAGATGCCTTGAACAAGAATTAAACATGGGATTTAGTTCCTTTGCCACAATGGAAGAAAGTTGTTGGATGCAGATGAATGTTTACTTTGAAGCATAAAGCGGATGGTTCTATTGACCGTTACAAGGCTAGATTGGTAGCAAATGGTTATACTCAGACCTATGGAATGGATTATTTGGAGACCTTTGCTCCAGTGGCAAAGCTCAATGTTGTGCATGTACTATTGTCCTTGTCTTCTAACCGCGACTGGCCTTTATTACAATTCGATGTTAAAAATGTGTTTCTACATGGTGACCTCAAGAAGGAAATTTACATGGATCTCCCTCATGGTATTCATGTAACCTCTAAGGAGGGTGTTTTGTGTAAGTTGCGGAAGTCTTTATATAGATTGAAGTAGTCTCCAAGAGCGTGGTTCAGGAGATTTGCAGCATTTATGAAGAAATTTGAGTATGTGCAGAGTAACTCAGACCATACTTTGTTTCTGAAGCGTCATAAATGTAAATTGACAGCTTTAATTATTTATGTTGATGATATGATTGTGACTGGAGATGATCATGCAGAAACGCAAAATCTTCAAAAGTATCTGGCTTCCGAGTTTGAGATGAAGTCATTGGGTGATTTGAAGTACTTTATTGGGATTGAAGTTGCCAGATCTAAACATGGTATCTTTCTGTCTCAAAGAAAGTATATTTTGGATTTACTTGCAGAGACTGGAATGTTGGATTGTAAACCAATTGATACCCCTAGTGAACAGAATCATAAGTTGAAGTTGTATCATGATCAAGTCCCTACAGATAAAGAGCGTTATCAATGACTTGTGATGAAATTGATTTATTTATCTCATACACGTCTTGATACCACATATGCAGTGAGTGTAGTGAGTCAGTTTATGCATACTCCTAGTGAAGATCATATGGGTGTTGTGATGCACATTTTGAGGTATCGAAAGTAACTCCTGAATATGAGTTAATGTTTTATGGAAGGGTATACAAGTGATGATTGGGTTGGTTCAGTCACTAATAGACGTTCTACGTCTGGGTATTTCACATTTGTTGGTGGTAATTTTGTTACTTGGATGAGTAAAAAGCAAAAAGTGGTGTCTAGGTCTAGTGCCGAGGCCGAGTACCGTGGGATGGCTTAAGGTGTGTGTGAGTTACTATGGTTGAGAAGATTGTTGAGAGATCTTAGGTTTGGACCCCAGAAACCCATAGATTTGTATTGTGATAATAAAGTTGCAATTGCAATTTAGCATAACCTTGTGCAACATGATCATACAAAGCACGTGGAGGTTGATTGACATTTTGTTAAAGAGAAGATGGATGCTAAAATTATTTCTTTTCCGTTTATATCATCCGAGTATCAATTAGCAAATGTTCTTACGAAAGCTGTGTCTACTACCGTCTTTCTCAACTCGCTTGACAAGTTGGGCATGCGTGATATCTTTGCTCAAACTTGAGGGGGAGTGTTAGCGAGATCCTAGCTTAATTAGGATATTTATTTCCTAGTTTATTAGGATTATATTTCTTTCCTTTAGTACATATATTGTGTAATTAGGATTTTATCTTGTTTCCTAGTTTGACCCTACTAGGGTTACATCCTTGTACTATAAATACCTTATTTTGGAGAATGAAATACAACCTAAAAAATATTCAACCCTACTTTGTTTGACTAATATACATTAATTTTATGTAAATTTGTTATTGTATTTGATTATTACAATTCTGTTGAGAATTTTTATTATCTTTAAATTTATATTTCCTATTTCCTTCCCCCCCCCCCCCGCATGTTTTTCTGATTAAAAGTCTGGAAAGATCAGAAATATTATTGAAGTTGGTTAGGCCACTACCTACTAGAAGGTAGCACAGTCAACTGGAGCAAAAGAAACCACTTCTTGATCAAGGTCATAACTAACAAAATAGTTCTGTTGTTGCATATTTCCAAGTATGGACAACTCTTCATTGGACCTCACCATGGCAAGGCACCAAAGCCCCTTCTCTGCTTCAATGTAAGTAGTTTGTTTCATTAGAATGACTTCAGCACCATCAAAAATGAATTTCAAATCTGGTGCTGCAGAATCCAAGTCCTCAAAACTTCCCTCAAAACACAACTCATACCATTCGCTTGGTCCTCTCCTTTGAGGCAAATCTATGGCTTCCCCCAGTGCCTCGATCAATGCATCATATGCTTCTGATCTAAGTAATGTGTAAGTTGTGCCTGAATCAATAATAAACCCTCCTTCCCCATCACTTGTCATGTTAAAAATCCCATCAGGGAGAGGAACATTTTGGTCACCAATGCTAATTCCAATAAGAGTGACATAGTAATACCAATCCACTCCCTTCAGAAGTGGAGTTTGCCCACCAGAGATCACTGCCTCTGAGCCAAAATACATCCTGCTTCCTGATCCCTCATTGTCCGGGAGCACCATGCAGTACGAGAACTTTTTTATGCCTAGTTGAGAAATTAAGGACAGGGGTTGCCGGCTCAGGCCGAGAGCCCCTGATTGGTTCCCACGAAAATGCCATGAAGAGAAGTCAGAACAACCAAAATCCAAGTGACCAACATCCACAAGGTTCCTCTCAGGGTCTTCAAATGCAAACTTGTCATGGGACAAAGTTCCCTCTGTTGTAGAACCATCTCCATATATTACCCTATAGTAGCAAGGGTCATGAAACTCGGCACAGGTTCTCCTACCTACCCCAAGAGCCTCACAGGGAAGGGAATCACACAAGTAGTGACCGTAAGAGGATGATTTTGCAGGGTTGAAGACAGGGAAGCTTTGTGAGCATTTGACCCAAATGGCGTCACTTCCAGTGTCCATGAAGGCATGTACTTGGGTAGGGGGAGTGCCCACAGAGAAAGTCACTATGTACTCACCATTTTCAGGGACTATTCTAGAAGAGATATCATGTTCTGAGGATGAAAAGGTGGTGGTGAGTAAGTGGACGTGGTTAAGGCGTAAGACAGAACGATAAGCAGCAGCTTGTATACGATCATAGGCGGTCATGGAACGATTGTATGATGGGGATAGAGGTGAGTCACGGTGGATCAGACGAACCGAAAAGCCATCACCAGCAGTACTGCTGCTGATAGAGTTTATGGATTGAAGAATAAAGATGGTGTTCAAGAAGAAGAAAATGGTGGAAAAGAGAGAGGGCAGCGATATGCCCATTATCTAATATATGAGAATACTGCATCAGAAAGGTACCTAGCCAACTAATGCTTTTTAAGGAAGGTAATCTATGCATTTTGGTGCAATAGTTGTCTATTAATAAGGCAGCATTAGGAGTGGATTTAGTTATTAATGTATACCATGTAGTTTGTGAACTAATATTAAGTGTGAATGAGTTTTTTTATTATAAAAAAAGTAGGTCAAGAAAGGCATCAAGGATGTGATACCTTTACTCTTGCATCAAAAGTAGCTGAGTGAATAATATTTCGACATTAGACAGAATTGTTGCAGGGTTAGGTATTTTATGGTTCATATTGGAAAAACACAGGAAGCTGAAGAAAAGCTTCAGGGGTGTGAATGCCTGTCTTGGAATCAAAAGATGGGGAAAGACTAATATGAGACAAAGGCATGTCCAAGCTCCTTGTTCAAGGTCATAACCAACAAAATAGTTCCGCTGCTGAATATTTCCAAACGTGGACAACTTTTCACTGGACCTGATAATGGCAAGGCACCAAAGTCCCTGCTCTACTTCAATATAAGTAGTTTGCTTCGTTAGCATGACTTGTACACCATAAAAAAGAAATGTAACATCTGGTCCTGCAGAGTCCAAGTCCTCAAAACTTCCCTCGAAACACTGCTCAAACCATTCCATCGGATCTCTCCTTTGCAGCAAGCATATGGCTTTTCACAGTGCCGTGACGAATACGTCATATGCTTCTGATCGAATGATCGAAGCATCGCATAAGTTGTGCCTGAATCAATAACAAACCCTCCTTCCCCATCACTTATCATACTAAAAATCCCATCAGGGAGAGGAACATCTTGATCACCAATGCTAATTCCATTCAGAGTGACATAGTAGTAGGCCTTTTCCTCTTGATCAAATGGAGTTTGGCAGCACCATGCAGTATTTTCTGATCCAAAATATATCCTGCTTACTGATTCCTCATTGTCTGGCAGCACCATGCAGTATGAGAACTTCGTTATGCCCAGTTAAGAAGGTAAGGACAAAGCATCCTTGTTCAAGCCCAGAGCACCTGTTTGTTTGGTTCCCCACAAATTCCCATGAAGAGTAGTTGGAACAGCGCGAAAATCCAAGTGTCCAACATCTACAAGCTCCCTCTCAGAGCCTTCAAATGCAAACTTGTCATGAGAAAGAGTTCCCCTTGTTGTGGAACCATCTACATATTCTCCTATATAGTAGCAAGGTTCACGAAAATCTCTGCCTCCACAAGTGTTGCCGCTTGTACCTAGATCATTACAAGAAAGGGAATCGCACAAATAGTAGCTGCAAGAGGAAGATTCTGCAGGGTTAAAGACATTGGAACTTTGTAAGCATTTTATCCAAATGACGTCACTTCCTGTGTCCATATACTCACCGTTTTCAGGGACTAATCTAGAAGAAATATCATATTCCTGGCGTGAGGATGGAGAGGAGGTGGTGAGGGAGCGGATGTGGTTGAGGTGCAAGAAAGAACGATAAGCAGCTGCTCGTATACGCTCAAGGTTGGTCATGGAGTGGTTGTATAATGGGGAAAGAGGTGAGTTGCGGCGGATCAGGCAAACAGGGCAATGCCATCACCGGCAGTGCTGCTGATAGCACTTGTGGATTGAAGAATGAAGGTGGCGTACAGGAAGAAGAAAATGCTGGGAAAGAGAGGCAACAACAGCCATATCCCACTGCATGCAGAAACCATGCACCTATGAGCCAATTGATACTTCAATCCAAAGCATTTTCGTGCATTGGTTGTCCATTTTACAGCACGTTGATGCATCAGTTGTTTATGTAAATCATAGAATTACTATATAGCTCAGGAGAAGCATCAAGGGTGTGAAATCTTTTACTATCATAAAAAAGCTGAGTGAACATTAGAAAGAATTTCGGTTTACTCTGAAGAAAACCTTCGAGGATGTGAATCACTGTTGAGAAATCAAAAGATATATACGGCCATCCATTAATTGTTATTAAAAGAAAAGCTTCACGTTGCCCAAATCCAGAAATTGTGATTTGAAACTATGCAATAGGGTTTAGTAGGTCCTCTTGCTCTGAAAGATCTAACTAGAGTATAAAATTAACCTATCAAATGTCACATTCCGAAAATCCCTCCGCGTCAGAAGTTTCAGCTTGAAGATATTTGAAATGATACAAACACACTGGTAAAGTTAATTGAATCAAATCACTGACATAACAACAAAACTTGCATTGCCTTTGTAAGGAGAGCAATCATTGGGGTGCTCATCAACCTTGGCCAAAACACATGGTTCTCTCTTTTACAGGATACGAACGGCACATGGAGCTTCAAATTTTCATTCATCCCCGAGGAGTTCAATAAAGAACACCTTCTTTGCTGGTTAGGTCCTCAATGTTTACATTCACTTGTAATCCCGTGGTTAATAGACCACTAACCATTGCAGGAATATCAGATGTTAAAGATACGGCTAATGCCTGGATACAGGGACAACGTGTAAGCTTGAGTTCTCAAACAGACTATTGAACAAGAAAAACAGTTGCATAAATGGTATACCTTTCTGTCCTCTTCCTTTTGGTGCCTAATAACCTCTAAGGGCCACTCACTACCCAACTTTTGAAGCTCAACCACAATGCTGGACTTCTTTGAATCAGGTAAAGTCTGGCATACATAAATCTCAATGGCATCAGCAAATAGGAAAATATGAAATAAAATCATAACATGGAAATAAGTTTGATCATAATCTTGTCCTTAAAGGTAAGGTGGAGCCAATCTGAAACCAAAATCGTGAATTGTGTTCAACAATGGAACTCACACCTCATGCGAAACCAGAGTAGGAGCTATTCTCTCTTTGTATGTCAAACATTAAATTTACTAATGGGTGGACAGAAGTATTAAAAGTTCAAATATGGTCATTTATCCTGATGTAATAAACAAATGAAATGAATCATAGTTGCTCCATTCATTCAACAGAGAGATTCTGTGGTACCGTTTAAAGACTTTACATTTCTACAAAAGACTCAGATTTCAAATTAGCTATTGTAGGACTTATTTCCCCTATCAAAATATAAAGTGTAATAAGGAATCAAACCTGATTTAGAACTTGGATGATGGAAGCAGCTTCCTCAGGCTTATGTTCTAAGAGAAAACCCTGCAAAACAATTAGTAAATAAAAGTTAAAAAAAACATGGGGTGAATTGATTGAAACTAATAGCTATACCAAACAAAGCTCTAACTGGAGATGCTGAGGCAAAGCTCAAACTTTTAAGTTCTAGTTTTTTTTTTCTTTTTTCTTTTTCTTATTAACAGAAAGGGGGATTCAAACTTGGAACCTCGTTTGATATTGGCAAAAGAAATACCACTAGACAAAGAGCTAGTTGGTTCTAGCTTCATAGAAGCCATTTAACCAGATATATAGAGGAACTGTCACTTAACCACCTATAACCAGGTTTGAGTGGTTCTCTTACATATCTGGTAGTAGAATCAACCATCTCCAGACCATTGCTTACTGGACCCAGCTACCGGTCCGTCTCGTTTTAACAAATAGGTATGGAAAGTTTGGGGGGAGAATAGAGGGATGTAAGGTTCAATACCTTAGCACATGAAAATCCACTCGCAACAGTGTGCTGCTTCATCGACTCAGATCTTAACTTCTCAATTTTCCACAATGATTCAACATCTCCTGCAAATGAGAAACTTGAAATGCTTTAAACAATATACCGGATGCCATCATAAAGGATAATATTCATTTGAAGCTAAGGATAGCATAACCTACTGGGGATGACGATAGAAAAAATAATAATAATTTGGTCTCAAAACATAATATAAGAGAACAGAGAATTTGTAGAAACCTATTTTAGCAGCAAATTCCATCCATAGATCAAACGCAGTTTGCCGTAGCTTTACTCCAGCTTTGACAAACCTTTTTGAGTACTTAGACATCAGCTGCCAATTATCAGTATTGTAACAGATGCTGCAAATAGTCAACCAAAACAGATTCAAGATCATGTTAAGAACGTTACAAAAATATAAAAGTGAAACCATACAGAAAACAAAAACCTTAGCTAATGATTATCTTGTTTCTTTGCAATCAAACCACTACAGAGACCACTTGTGAAATCTGTCCAGTATTTTAAGTTCTTTTTCACAATGAAACTTTGAAAGGTAAGAAGTAAAAGCATTATCTAAGCAGTCATAATTTATAACCTAGATACCTGAAAACAATATCTGCTGTACCAGGTTGCAAGGGTAAGTCATTCTTCTTTAAAAGACTCATTATTTCCATCATAAGTTTAGCATCACCGCGTTCTTTAGCATGTATCTGCAGCCAATTTACAGCAAGATTTTATTGCATCTAAATGTCAAGTACAAGAGAAACCTAAATGGTCAACGTCCAATTTCATTAGTACCAGTAAATGGTGAGCAGATCCGATGGTAGGAGCCAATCCATACACATTATGTTTCCACAAGGCCTTCTTTCCTGCAATGTCAGATATATAAATTGATAAGATCCAGCAAATGCAGAACTCTGAACACCCAACAATCTACATGCAAGGGTTTCTCTAAACTGTAGATTTAGAATTTCACTTACAAAAAGAGACCAAATTTGAGCCCTAAAAATAAGATTCACATGGCATACCAAAGTCGAGGGCCCCCACACGAGCACATGCCTTAGTAACCTCTCGGCAGAGATTGCAATTAAAATCAGAATGGATGCGAAGATTTGACAATCTCTGCAATCAAAAACAAAGCATACAACTGTCAACAGAAACAACTTAAACTTCACTTAAGAGTATGCAAATTGAAAATGGTGAGCCAACCATAATGCTGAGAGATTAGGAACTAACAAATCTGCGTAGGTTCTGCAAGATGTCAAATAGAAGCTTAATATCTTCATGCTTTTTGCAATTCTCAATCAATGACCATAACCAAGCATTGGGGGGCATTGATCGTTTTATATTCACAGATTGCAGCATTTTATCATACAGCTCCTTCACAACTTCTGCACCCAACCAAGAAAAGAAGATATTACTAAAACAACTTAAACATCAATTTGAAACAATTTACACCAAAGCAAAGCTACAACCTGTGGAACCACCTTCGACGGTACTCGCTTCAGAAGAAAAGGGCGCTCTCAATGTCATCATTGTGCACATTGTGTGTTGTTCCATTGGCAGAAGATAACCGTGAGTAATGCCTATATAATTCAATATCCTCATGTTACAAAATTATTGATTTCAAGATATAGACTTTGCTTGTTTGTTTGGTTCATGAAAAAATACTCGCAGATTATAAGTATAAAAAAAGTTAAGAATACCTGAGAACATAAAATTAGAAGACTCTAACTTCGTCACTAGAAACGTAAGACTCAATAATCATTATCTTTTACCCTTTTATTCCTTTCATTTCCTCAGGTTTCTCAACTACCAAACAACATATAAACTATAGAAACTGCATCAACACAGAAAAAAAATTCTCAAAAGTAATACTTTACTCCTTTGAGTTCAGCTTTGGCTTGCCAGATATTTCTCGGCAACCAAACAGAATATTAGTTACAAAAAAAAAAAAAAAAATTCAACTAAATACAGAAAACAGAAAGGTTCGCAATGAGAATTAGATGAGCGAATGCTGAGCCTACCAGAGAACAAGGAGTATTGCGAAGAGACGGTGCTGAAGTTCCGCCATTGGAAAGAAGTGAGGGGAGCTTCGAGAACTCGGACATCTGGAGAGAGAAATTGATCGGATTTGATAAAAATGGGAGATTTGAGAGCTCTAGAGAGCCTGCGAGTATTGGAGACCACTTGCATGGCTTTGAAGGACCGAGTCCAGTCTGATTTTGGGGCTCCGAGTGAACTCGGCGAATTTTGGAGAGAGAGAGAGAGAGAGAGAGAGAGAGAGAGCTAAAGCCCAGGCACTGAACGATCAGGGTTTAGAGGGAAGACCGGAAGAGAGAGGAGCATGTATTTGTGTAACGGCGGTCCATGGTTGTTACTGTGGAACTTTTTTTTTTTTTTTTTTTAAGACCGTTACTGTGGAACTTCACTTCCAAGTTTTTGCTACTTGCTATATACACCCATGAAGTTTGATCATCACACCCAACAACAACTTGAAATTACGAAATTTCAAAGTTTACTCTCTATATATGGTGATAAAAAAGAAATAAAATTTTAAAGGGTTTAAATGCAAATACATTATCTTAGTTGCATTTTTCAAGGGCCTCAAAAATTATAGGGCGCCTACTTGAAGTTGGTGCAAATTAGTGGAATTACTTTTCAAAAGTATATTTTTGTTATAAATCCATGGAATGTGGATGATTTATAATCTATATTTAGTGAGTTAATTTCCTATGGTTGTAAGCCTATAAATAAGTAGTTATCAAAGATGAAGATAACAAGTTCACAAAACAAATTCTCTATATTTCTCTTCCTCTTACTGATCTCTACAATTCTCCTTAGTTTTATTACACGTTATCAGCACAATGCTGCTCTTGGTATTATTTCTTTATTTGAATTTTCTTTTACGTCTAAGCTAGAGTCATCATATGAT